GGAGAGAGGTGAGAGTGTTGAGAGAAATTGATAGATTTAGTGTTTGAATAGATTTAAGGTTTTAATTTATTAAAAAGATAAATACCTGAAAAATGGATAAATAAAGTGAAAACCTGATTTTTTAAAATGTGAAACTAAACACCTGGTTTATGGTAATTTCCCACGAGTTTTATTAAAAAATGAATAAAATAAGCCCAAAATCGAGACAACTCGTGAAAAAAGGGTGTTCAACTTGGACCATGGCTCTCTTAAAAAAGAGTCTTGAGTCGTTTATGGGAGCCTGCAAGCAGCTCGATAGATTTGCCAGCCTTATTTAATATAATATGGTGTCATGGAGTCCGACTTACTTAAACATGCCAAGAATAAATAATTCGTAAAAGAAGGACTTGAAACCCTAAGGTCAAAAGGAGAAACAACACCGTCATATTATCTTACTATGTAACAGGGAATGTGCTTATTGACACTAGCAAATTCATTGCCCGTATTGAGACCTCTGTCTTGTGGGAACGGAGTAAAGGATGAGGATTGCGATAAACAAGTCAGCATTACAAATCGGCATATTCTATTGTGCATTGTATGTAATTGGACTTGGAACAGGTAGAACAAAGCCCAATATCTCCATCATAGGAGCAGATCAATTTGATGATTTTGAGCCAAAAGAAAAAATTCCAAGAGATCTCATAATTTTTCAACCGGTAGATGTTTAGCATCTTCCTAGGCACCCTTTTCTCTAACACTATGTGTTATATAGAATTTTAAATGCGTACATTATGTGTTATATGGTATTTTAAATGGATCATACTACGTAGCGAAAGAGTTCAAAATGAGAAGAATAAGGAAGATTCGAAAATCTCCATCTCCACGGATTTAAGACGAACAACGTCTTTCATTTTCATTATCCGCTCAAGCATACCTTTAAAATTGTCGAACTTTATGCCCGAAAACCTTTTCTTTAGGGTGCTGGCCAACATTTTGTCAAAACTCTTGAGTTGTCTTCATGAAGTCCTTAGCTTTATTACATTTGAGGGACTGATCCCTTGATGCTATTATAGACATAAGTCTTCATGAGGCTCAAGCTTAAGAGAGAGGATTTTTTTCACAATTTATATAGAATCATCTCCTTTGAAATACTCGATTTCATAAGAACAAATATATAATCCACATGGAGCACCAAGTCGAGATCCATACATCCCAATGTGTGGAGAATTTTCTCCTTTTGAGTAAGAAAAGCTATTACCGCATAGAATTGGATGAAAAAAAAAGTTAGAAATCACTGCATAAGATAAACACGTAGATTGAAGCTAAGAAGATTATCTATATATTGAATTAACCAATGCCAATTCAATTTTGTAAATTCAGACCTTTGTGTAAGTAGAGAATGTTATTAAATATTGAATTTATCAAATTTTTTAATAATATCTAAAAGTTTTAAATTAGCCGATTTATTTAGATCCAACGTGCGGAAAAACATAGTTAAAAACAACAAGTCACTTTTTTAGTTGTTTCTAGATGTCAATCAATCATGTCAATTTATTCTATGTTGAATTACCACAATTTGTAATACGAGAGTCGTAAAGAACACCAAGTTTATCACTGAGAAAACCTTCGTAAAGGATAAAAAACCCGGGGCGCTTTGTCAGTCAATAATCCACTATAAACGAAACAACTTATAATATGATCCAGACCTGACTAACCCTTAATCCTCTCTGACCTTCTTTTTCTTTAGTCACCCTTGATCCTATTGGACTGCGTGTTCTTCACACTACTGAGTCCAAGTATATCACTTTGGCCCTCATGGACTACGTTCTCCTCACACCAACTCCTGACCCCTGGTATATTACCATAGCCCTCATGTATTGTGTGCTTTTGCACTAGCTCCTTATCCCTGGTATTGTTTACCTCCGGTGAATTAGATGGTTTGGTGTCTGACCAAAAGACCTCTTGTGTTTCGATCTTGTGGTTTAATATGAAATAATATGGCTGATCAACAAAATATGTTTTGAAAGAATTTATGGATAAAGTAATATGTGGTGGTTGAATTTTGGAATCAAATAATATTTTGGATCATCAAAGTATTGATCTCTATGGAAAAATATGATTCAACACACATTTGGATGTTACATATGGTGTATATTTATAATGGGTAGTCTTTGGGATGAAAATGAACTCAAAACCAGCTTGAAAATCGAATGCTATTGTTCTTCGGATAACCACGCCGCTCAAGCTCTAGGTCAGCGACAAGAGAGCGACACCTGAGCAGTCGTCAATTTTTTCATCATAACTTTCTCTGCTGATATCCGATCGAGATGATTCCAAGTAAGTTTGAAAGCTAAAGCAAATAGCTACAATTGTTCTAGAAATAACCTTGTCCAAATTCGAATGTTTTCTGGTGAAATATACGTTGCAACTTGTGGCTAAGAATCAGATTTGTTCAACACTTTTAAACTTCTTGACTTCTAATTGCATTCCAATGATCGTATATGATCTTTTTGGACATCTTAGACTCCTTCAAGACCTATATTACAAATCACAACTCTTTTGACTTTAATTAGAACTCGATAATTGTTATTTTGACTTTGATTACAACTAGATAAACTTCTAATACAATTCAATTAGGACATGATTTTGATTAAGTAAATTGCCAATTACAAATTAGACTTTACAATCTCACCATTTGGCATTTCGTGACAAAACCATTTATTTCAAAGCCAAATCTAAAGATCCTAATAACAAACTACCCAATGACTCAAATCCCAAAATTTATTTCAACATCTTGTCAACCCGTTTCCTGAAACATATGAAAATCACACTACTACGTGAAAAATAAGAGGAAACTATTAACACAAAAATCATATAACTAAGTTAAATAAAATAACATAATGAAACATGTGTAACACCGAAGCATGCAATATCATGTGAATTATAAATTTAAAAATAAATTATGGAATTTTATATCATGAGGGCAATCCTCCCCTAATAAGCCCGAATTTAAGATGAACAACAATGTCTTTCATTTTCATTATCCGCTCAAGCATACCTTTAAAATTGTCAAACTTTATGCCCGAAAACCTTTTCTTTAGGGTGCTGGCCAACATTTTGTCAAAACTCTTTAGTTGTCTTCATGAAGTCCTTAGCTTTATTACATTTGAGGGACTGATCCGTTGATGCTATTATAGACATAAGTCTTCATGAGGCTCAAGCTTAAGAGAGAGGATTTTTTTCACAATTTATATAGAATCATCTCCTTTGAAATACTCGATTTCATAAGAACAAATAGATAATCCACATGGAGCACCAAGTTGAGATCCATACATCCCAATGTGTGGAGAATTTTCTCCTTTTGAGTAAGAAAAGCTATTACTG